AGACCAAGCTGCAAGCAGTGCCGCTGATGATCTTTACGTGCAAGCGCCTTAGTAAAGATATCAGCTGTGTTGGCACCGGAGGCCAAGTGTAGTACGCAGGCCTGGCGTCACTGCTGTAGCTCGCGCAAGAGGAAGTACCACAGCTGGATGTGCTTCGCTCTGCCCTCAAGTCGAGGCTCCTGACACAGGAGGATCATGGCTCTGTTGTCAGCGTACAGAACCAGGGCAGAGCTAGGCCGCTCACCTAATTCGGCGAGCAAGAAGGTCAGCCAGCAGAGCTCCTGTGCCGCCATGGCACCAGCGTAGAACTCAGCCTCACAGCTAGACTGGGCAACAGACGTGGAGCGAGTGGACCTCCACGAGATGACACCAAAATCAAGGCTAAAGCAGTGGCCCTGGGAGGACCTGAGGGTCTCAGCGTCGTCTGCCCAAGAAGCGTCTATGTGCCCAGTAAGGACCACTGGCTTGCGTCCTCCTAGCACTAGCCCCATGCCCGATGTACTTGCAAGATAACGCAACACCCTTTTAGCGGCCGACGAGTGCTGTGGTCAGTGTTTGCCTGCGGCCACAAAGCGAGCCAGGATGCTGAGGGGGCATGCGAGATCTGGACGAGTGCAAGTCATCAGGTACATGAGGCAACCCACCGGCTCTGCGTAAGGACCACCGGGCTCTGATGACTCCTCGGGAACATGAGCTGAGAGCCTGTGGTCTACTGGCAGAGATGTGGGCTGTACGGAGGAGAACTAAAGACCGAACCTCTGAAGAACCTGGCGCACCAAATGTGACTGTGTGAGAGTGATGGTAGGCGCTGCTCTGTCCCTCGAGATCTACAGGCCAAAGTAGCAACGCAGCTCTCCTAGGTCAGTGCAGGTTTGTCTCCTCAGCAGCTCGGTCTTCACGCCTCAACGTAAGTGCGAGGGGTCGGGATGTTAAAGGCGTTTGGGTCACCCGCAGGGAGTAGCAGCATGGAACAAAGACGGGGAGCAGCCTCGGACACGAAAGCAAGCTCGTACTGCCTGTACTCTAGGACGTCACTGCAAAGGGCAGGAGCACCCCCGACGGACGGAGGACGGACAGGGTCAGAGACCAGAGCGGTGGCGTAGTTAAGGCAACGGGTAGAGGCGAAGTCAGCGACATTAGCGACAAGAGGGTCAAGACTTGAGAGAGGAACAGACGGGCCGGTAACGAGGGAGGCAAGGACCCGAGGAACAAGTGGATGAGTAGCACGTAGGTAGTCAGACAGAGGGGGAGGCGCGACAGCGAGCGACGACGGAGGGGGGGAAGGCAGGAGGGGAGGACGAGATAAGTGGGAACGGAGCAACAGAGGGTGAGAGCGCGGAATACGGGAAACAGGACGAGCACGAGAGGGACGGCAAGACCGGACGTGAGACGGAGGTGTTGGGTCAGGGGACAGAGGAGGAGTAACAAGGGGGGAACGAGGTCGGAAACGGGCCGGGGACGAGTCCGGCGGAGGAAATATGGGACTGTGGATAGGAAGGAGAGGAGGCAGCGGGGGAGGCGCAGGCGAGCGGTCGGGGGAAGGAAGACCGAGCAGGCGAGGGGTGGAAACCGGTGGCGTCTGCTGCTGCTGCTGCTCAATGTTGGCACCAGGAGCACCAGGTGCACCACGCCCACCTTCGGAACACTCCACTCTAGCACCCCCAGAACGCGCAACTCCGGAGCGGGAACTCTCTCCACCACCGGTGCCACCCCTGAGCGCGTCGGGACAAGCCACGACAGGAACCCCACGACTAGCACCCTCCTCAACTCCAGCACCCCCAGAGTCCACGAGGGGCTGTGGCCGCTGCGACGGCGATGGCTGCTGCGACAGTGATGGCTGCTGCGGCGGCGGCAGTGGCTGCTTCGGTGGCAGCGACTGCAACGGCGGCGACGGCGACGGGGAAGGAGGAGACATCGGGAGAAGAACAAGCGGCGCAAACTGCGGCGGTTGGGAGCGCGACCAGAGGTTAAGCTGGTGAGCAGCGTAGCGAACGGCGAACGGCCACAGAAAATGGGGTGCACCGGCATGGATCATCGAGGTACGAGCCACCTCCATGACCAAGCCGATGCGTTGCTCAGTGACCCCATTTTGCTGTGGGGAGTCCGGTAGGGTGTGAGAGTACAACCCCGTTACACTTTCCACATTTCATATCCATCTCATTCCTCCTTGTATCCCGATTCATTTGGTCTTGATCTCATCTCATTTGGTATCCTATTCCTCATTTTCCATCATCTTTTGGGTTATCCTGTTATTATAATTATATCACCGACCAAGCTGGGGATGTACTGGCGCGCTATATCTCGCGTAGTCCTGCCGTAATCCCTTAAAGCCAATAGCCTCGTGTGGCTATACGCAGGGTGATTCTATTTTCTAGAAGGGTCTACTCCCTTGGGATATGATAGACCTGGTTACTTGATGTACTCTTGAAGTATAAAAGCGCCTTGTATCAATCGATAGAAGGACTTTCCTCGACACATTCGATCCTGTGACACTTGGTAATCAGAGCTTTTCTCACTCGGCTGCGCTCAGCTAAGCAGCAGCAGCGGGACTCCTGCCTCGAAAAACCGTCGGGGGCGACCAATTTGACCCCGATTCTGGTAAGCACCAGCTCCGCGTTTTAGTTCGAATCACCCCCTGCGCGAGTGTTTTGAACATGATGGAGAACTTCGATAATGGCGAAGTTACCCATCAGTTCTTCGCAAGCATCGCCGCCCTACAGGAGGAGATGCGAGGCGACCGCGAAGCTCGGCGACAAGAGTTCGAGCGAGTAACTCGACTCGCCGACGCGCAACACGAAATGACAACGGCGACGACGCAGTAGTCGCATCTGTTTCTCGAGGCTCCGAAGCCGCGCCCACCTGGGCCGTTCGATCCGAGCGATCAAAACTCCGACGTCCGGAGATGGATCGCCGGCATCGATATCTACTTCGCAGCCGTCGGATGGAGCTCGCCAGTCTGGGAAAGTCAACGCGTACGACTCACGGCGACACTGATGTGAGGACCGGCACTCAAGTGGATCGGCGGTAACAGCACGTTCATCCATGGCGGAGCCACGTATTAGCCGTTTCGCACCGACCTGCTGAAACGTTTCGAGCCGATAAATTCGGGTTCCTTGCCCGCGAAAAAATTAATCGCCATCGACAGTTCAGGAGTGTAGCGCATTACACGCAGCAGATTGAAGAAATTTATAACCGCATTCCTGATCTGACCGAAGTGGAAAAAGTACAGTCGTATCTCGCCGAGCTGAAGACTGAAGTCAAACAACAAGTAGCAGTGACAAACTACGCGAGCTACAGTGACGTCGTATCAGCAGCAGAACGCTTTGACATGGTCAACGCCAGGACACGACGGGCGCACGTCGGCAGTACGCGACAGGGCGACCGCTCGGTTCACCCCAGGTTCGCCGACCCGATGGAAATCGACAGGAGTGAAGGATGGCCACGTCCGAAAAACACCAACTTCACGTGTGATTTTTGCAGGGTGCCGGGTCATCAAATCTTCGACTGCAACAAAATGAAAGCCCCACACACTGATTATCGGGCACGCAACAGTGGCGGAAATCCTTCGGCCAATCTGAAGACAAAAAACGGGACTCACCAGTAACTGCGGATCTAACTGGCAAAAAAGGAAAGACCCGAAAGCGGCTGCGGACTTCAGGGAAAATCAACTTCGACGCAGCTGATTCGACGTGAACAGGAGAAAATGATGGAGAAAAATCTCCACCCCACGACCAGTCTTCGCCAGAGGAAATCGCCGAGGAGAAACCTGACTCCGCGAAAAATGACTCTGCCAAGATGGGGAAACTCCTTGAATATGCAAGAAATTATAAGGATTCATTAAATTTATCTTATAAAGATGCTTTGATGAAAACTTGTAATTCTTGAGGGGCTAGAGCCTTGGAGAAATTTCAGGAGGGACTTCAAAAGAAGCATAAAATTATGGAGATCATACTGGTACCGGAGAACCTGGGGACCAAATTAAGGAGTGTTGAAAGAAGCCGACCTTTCCACGGAGTCAACGTCCTCTCCCAACACCAGCCCACATCCACTACCCGTTCCCCAGGGAAGACGTTGGTGAAGCTGAAGCTGCTTAAGAGGAAGCTAGGGGTCTACAAGAATCTCCGAACACCCCAAACTCCTACTTCGGATGCATCCAACTCGGCAACTTCATCAACGACACGGACAGTCGTCACGGAAACTCCGGGCCCTGGAGAAGAGCCTTTCTCCAAGCAGCCTCGGCAAGTTGCCAGCTCAGGAGTAGATAGCAACACAAGGTGTGTACGGAAGATTGGGATGTACCCTTTGACCCAATCAATGAAACTATCTTTGGGTACTCCAAGCAACGTCTGCCCCTCGTGCTCAAGGTCATCTGCAAAGGACGACGCCTCCAAGCACTCGTGGACAGCGGAGCATCGCACACCGTATGCGACAAGGCAACCATCAACCGACTTCGAGAAGAGTACAAGCCATCAGCGTTTTCTGCAACGATGGTGGATGGCAGCAAGTTACCAGTGTACGGCGAAGCAGTGCTACACCTACAAATCGGGCCACTGCGCTGGAAACTTGCTCTCCCCATCACCAACATAAAAGGGCTTGATCTGATCTTCGGGCAAGACTTCCTCAAGAAATTCAACCCCAAGTTCAACTAGGTAAACTGCACCGCAAGCATCTACAACAAAGGAAGGAGAGTCCAGCTACCCAACAGGGACGATACAGGAGATATCCCAGTGGAGACACTCGCAAGATTCGAGAAGGACGTCAAACAAACCAACACCGGGTTCCTGGCGTTAGCAACAAAGGTGGAGAATGACGGAGAGAAAGCCTCGGAACCTCCAGAGAAAATCAAGGAAATACTGAAGGAGTTCCTAGACATTCTTCCCGACGACCTCCCGGACTTGTTACCGCCATACCGAACGCACCAACACGAGATCGTGGAGGAACCAGGTTCGAAGCCGACCTTCCGAGCACCATATCGGCTCAGCCCTACATGGCTAGCCGACATGAAAAAGTAGATCTTGTATCTCCTCGCCAAAGGACTTCTCCGACCATCCACTTTGCCATACGGTGCCCCAGTACTGTTCACACCGAAACCGGACGGGAGCCTGCGCATGTGCATCGATTACCGAGCTCTCAACAAGCACACCATCGAAAACAAATACCCGATTCCACGAATCGATGATCTGCTTGACCAGCTTCGGGGAGCTACGGTTTTTTACAAACTAGATCTGCGGTCCGGATACTGGCAGATACGAATGGCGGACGACTCTGTTCACAAAACTGCCTTCCGAACTCGGTACGGATCGTACGAGTATCTGGTAATGCCGTTTGGACTCACCAACGCACCTGCAACGTTCCAAGCAGAAATGAATCACATCCTATGCCCACTCTTGGATGAATGCGTGGTGGTGTACTTGGACGACATCCTCGTCTAGTCACGCGACATGCAACAACATGTCGAACACCTGCGACGCGTTTTCAAGATTCTTCGATGAGAACGCTTCTACGTCAAACTATCCAAGAGCGACTTCGCCCTCGAGAAAGTCCAATTCCTCGGACATATTGTAAGCGCTCAAGGGGTTCATGTCGACCCCAAGAAAATTGAAGCCCTGCGTACATGGAAAACACCCGAGAACATGAAGGAGTTACATCAGTTCCTTGGCTTCGCTAACTACTACAACAGATTCGTGCCACAATGCGCGAAAATCGGCGCGCCACTCACGAATCTGCTCAAGAAGAACACGCCCTATAACTGGGAACCAAGACATTAGGAAGCCGTGGAGCAGCTGAAACAAGCACTCACGTCCGCACCCGTACTCATCTTGCCAAACCCCGAACATGACTACGTCATCGAAGTTGACGCCAGCGACCAGGCAGTGGGAGCAGTCTTGATGCAAGACCAGGGGAATGGACTGCAACCAATTGCCTACCTTATCAAAAAATTACACGGGGCAGAACTCAACTACCCAACACACGACAAGGAGGCCCTGGCTATCATCATCGCCTTCAAAACGTGGAGATGTTATCTCGAAGGACGCAAAACAACAGTCTACTCCGACCATTGCAGCCTAAAATATTTGAAGATGCAACCAAGCCTCTCCAGGCGACAGGTTCCGTGGATCGACTTCCTTGAGACGCACTTCTACTACGACATCGTGAAAAAACCTGATGCGCTTAGCCGGCCTGCATACGTTGCCGCTATCCAAATTGAAGGGATGAATCCACTCCTCAATGGACTCTTCACACACGGGTACACTATCGACCCCGAAATTTCTTTGGTAGAAAAGCGACATCTGCTACAGTGTGACAACGACATCGCGTACCGAAAAGGATCAACAAAAATCAGGGTACCTAATTACCCTCCATTGCGCCAGTTACTACTCGAAGAATACCACGACGTCCTTTACGCAGGACACTTCGGTAGCAACAAAACGCTCTACGGTATCGCCAAACACTACTACTGGCCCCACATGGCAGATGACGTACAGAAATTCGTCACCTCGTGCACTACATGTCAGCGTATGAAGAGCAGCAAGCAGAAAAAAGGTAGGTCTGCTACAGCCTCTTCCTGTCCCAGAACAGCCATGGCAAGTGGCCAGCCTAGACTTCATCACCAGGCTACCAACTACCACAAACGGTCATGACTCAATCCTCATCGTCATTGACAAGTTCTCCAAAATGGGACGCTTCATCCCGACACACACGACAGCACGCACCGAGAAGACAGCACAACTCTTTGTTCGCTACATCATTTCACAACATGGCATTCCAACCACACTCATCTCCGACCGAGACCCTAAGTTCACCAGTAAATTGTGGAAAGTACTGATGTCTCTACTCAGAACCAAACTCGCCATGTCATCCGCATACCATCCACAGACAGACGGCCAGACTGAGCGTCTTAACCAAATTGTAGAGCAACTACTCCGAGCAACCTGCAAGGATGAAATCTCCAAATGGGACTTGCATCTGCGCATACTAGAGTTTGCCTTCAACAACGCTGCTACTGGATAGACGCCGTTCTTTTTCTGTTACGGACGCCACCCACTCACACCTCAACAACCAAACATACCAGCCACATGTTAACCTACTCATGATTTCATCACGACCATGCAAAAGCTTTGGGATCGGACCCACAAGCGCCTTCTCAACATTCAGCAACAACAGAAGCGCCAGGCCAATCACCACCGCACAGACCACACCATCACCGTGGGAGACCGAGTACTGCTCGACATGCGCAATCTTGACATCAGCCATCTCCCATCCAAACTGCGACCTCACTTCTGCGGGCCTTTCCTCGTTGAACCACAGGTCACTCCTGTTACCTTCCGCTTACGCCTACCAGCTACCTGGAAGATCCACAACGCCTTCCGTGTCCAACTCTTGAAGCCCTATCGAGATCATAACACAGTCTTGACTGGATGCCAACCGCCGCCGCTGCCGCCCGTCCTCGTCCATGATGAACCCGAGTACGAGGTCGAGTCCGTGCTTGCTCACCGCCGTCGACGGAATGGCAACGTGGGGCTTCTCATCCGTTGGAAGGGTTATGATCCTTCAGAGGATAGCAGGGTCTCTAAATCCGAGATGGATCACGCTCGTCGTCCTCTTCGCGACTACCTTGTCAATCAAGGTGTTACGTCTAACACCCAGCTTTGAGGGGGGGAAGTGTGAGAGTACGACCCCATTACACTTTCCATATTTCATACCTATCTCATTCCTCCTTTTATCCTATCTCATCTAATTTGGATTCCTATTCCTCATATTCCATCATCCTTTGGGTTATCCTATTATTATAGTTATATTACCAACTAGGCTCGGGATGTACTGGTGTGCTATATCTCGCGTAATCCTGTCGTAATCCCTTCAAGCCAATAGCCTCGCGTGGCTATACGCAGGTTGATTCTATTTTCTAGAAGGGTCTATTCCCTTGGGATAGGATTGACCTGGTTACCTGATGTACTCTGGAA